AGAACACACTAGCTGTTGGGTCCTCAACAAATTTCTTAACCATTCTATACCTCAGCCTCTTCATCTGGGAAGGCAAAGAATAGTGTGTGTGTGTGTGTGTGTGTGTGTGTGTGATGTGCATAGGTGTGCCCATGCATGCAGAGGTTGGAGGTAGATATCACGAATCATACTTTTTTTTTTTTTTTTTTGGCTTTTTAAGACAAGGTTTCTCTGTGTAGTCCTGGAAATGGCTCTGTAGACCAGGCTGGCCTCGAACTCACAGAGATCTGCCTGTCTCTGCCTCCTGAGTGCTGGGATTAAAGGCGTGCGCCACTACCACAGCCTGGCTTGAATCATCCTAATAACTCTTCCACTTTATTCCTTGAGGAGGGTCTCTTTCTCTTTTCTTTTTGTTTTGTTTGGTTTTGGGTTTTTGAAGATAGTTCCTCTGTGTAACTCTGACTGTCCTGGAGCTCACTCTAGACTAGGCTGGCCTTGAACTCAGAGATCCACCTGCTTCTGCCTCTGAAGTGTTGCTGGGATTAAAGGTGTGCGCCACCACAGCCTGGCTGAGTAGGGTCTCAAGCAAGCCTGACCTTCCTGATATGGCTAGTCTTGTCAGCCAGCTTGCTCTGGGGATCCCGTCTCTACCTTCCAAGGCATTTATGTGGGTTCTGGGGATCTGGATTAGGGTCCTCACATGTGTGCAAACACTTGAAGCCCTGAGCCATCTTCCTAGCACCAATAACGCATTCAGAACAAGCAGGACCTTGCAGGCAGCATTAGCTGCTGTTTCCACAGCTCTTTCTTAAGCTTCTAGAAAGTGTGCCTAATTGTTCCCCACACTCCCAGAACGGTCCCATGACTTCTCCCTGGCAATAGCCTGAAGGCAGTATGTGAGCACTGAATGATTCTGCAGCCAACATCCCCCCCCCCCCCCCCAGACAGGGTTTCTCTGTGTAGTTTTGGTGCCTGTCCTGGATCTCACTCTGTAGATCAGGCTGGCCTCAAACTCACAGAGATCCGCCTGTCTCTGCCTCCCGAGTGCTGGGAATCTTTATTCCTACCACGGCCTGGCTGCAGCCAACATCTTATACAGGTTCTGTGCAGTTACTGATCAATCCTGCGGCATCCTTCATAGGCTCGGCCATCATGACATGTGGTGGTCTAGGGTTTCAAAACACAAGAAAGTGTAAGTCTGACGCACACACTGTGCATATCACACAGCCTACTTTGGAAGGCAGAAAAACAGATTTGTTATTGATGAGAGGAGCAGAAAATATGTGGCTAATAATAATATATGCATATAAAACACATACATATATATGTATATTAGAGCCACATGTGATATTATATGACTGTAATTCCAACAGAGAGAGGCAGGAGGATTGCTATGAGTTTGAGGTTAACTGAACTACATAGTGTGTTCCTGGCCACGTAAGGCTGCATAGTAAAACCTGGTCTTTCTTTCTTTTAAGATTTGCTATTTATTTATTTATTTGCTTGTGTGTGTATAGGTGTGTGTGCGTGTACAGGTGTGCAGGTGCCCACAGAGGCCAGAGAGGGAGTAGGATCCCTTGGAATTGGAATCACAAACAGTTGTGAGCTGCCTAATGTCGGTGCTGAGAACCAAATTCTTTTTCTATCAGCCCTCTTAACTACTGAGCCATCATCCTAGTCCAGACTCTGTCTTAAAAAAAAAAAAAAAGCACAATGTGGGGACTAACTAACAGGAGGAAAGAAGAAAGGAGGGATGGAAGGAGAAGGATATATATCGGGCTGGGATATAGCTTGGCAATAAGTGCTTGCCCACCGAGCATTCATGACGTTCTGGGTTTGCTTCTGCCTCCCTCTCCTGGGGCACCTGCACTGGGGACAGCCAGCTGCCATTTGATGAAGGCATGTAATCAGCCCTGTGGAGAGAGCTGTGTATGCACAGGCTCATGAGAAAGGGGGTTTTCCTGCAAATCAGCCTGTAGCCCCAATCAAATCTCAGCCCAAGATCAAGCCAGAACCTACTAAGAAGCCATTCTCTGTTCCTGACCCCCAGAAATGTTTATTGTTAGGGTGTTTCAGATAGAGTCAAAGTCAGTAGCTCAAACTGGCTTCGAGTCTGTGATCTTCTTGCCTCTGCCTCCAGAGTCCTGGGATCACAATGTGTGCCACCACGTCCTGTCTACTGTTTTAAGCTAACTTTGAGGTAATATAATGTGATACATAACAGTAACTGGTAATTTATATAGATCCTTACAACAGCTGGTGAGAAGGGAGTTGCCACAACTATCAATGTGCAGAGGAAGAAACTGAGACCCAGAGACAGGGAGTCTCTTGTTTAGGGTCACACAGACACGGAACTGTCACCCTGATTGGGAACTTGGGTTTTCATGAATGTTAGAGTCTACCCACTGAGGTCCAAGGCTAGCTTGCCCCTTAAAAAGAGAAGGCTAAGGCCAGAAAACATGAAGACTGCATCTGTGTAGACTGATTTTTCTTTTTGGGCCACCAGCTCACAAAAAATGACACAGAGACTTATTAATTATGAAAGCTCGGCCTATAGCTTAGGCTTGTTCCTAACTAGTTCTTACAACTTAAATTAACCCATTTCTATTAATCTAAGTGCTACAGTGTGGCTTGTGGTTGTTACCTCTCCTCCTGCATGTCTTGCTTGTTCTCTGTCTCCTGGTGTCCTCCTTCTTCCTCCCAGTGTCCTTTCTGTCCAGAAATCCTGCCTAGCTACTGGCCATTCAGCTTTTTATTAAACCAGTAGGAGTAACACATCTCCACAGTGTACGAAAAGATCATTCCACAACACATCTACCCTCCCCCCCAACTAATTTTTGCAGATGGTATCAGGGCTGATGGGACACCACTATACACATCTACATAGTCCACAGCAGAAAATAAGGCAACAGGAATGTGGACTCTCAAACACAGACCATCAGAGCTTACCTGTCATCTGGCACAGAAAAAGGTGTTATTGTATGTAAATGGATAAACTCACGCTGGGAACTATAGCAAAAACAAAAGGAAATTTCACTAAGTGGTAATGATAGTAATGGTAATGAAAATAATCTACCAGGTATTTCAGAATAAAAACATACAATTATTATCAAATGGCACACACTTGTAATCCCAGCACTTGCAGGCAGAGGCAGGGGGTTACTCCAAGTTTGAGGCCTGCCTAGTTAGTCTATATGCTAAGTTTCAGCCCAACCTAAGTTGTGTTCCCAAATTAAAACAAACAAACAAACAAAAAATCAAATTCCAAATGATGTGTGGTTAGACATGACCAAAGAGGGAATTAGGGAGGAATCAAATATCACAAATTCAAGAATATTTACAAAATTTCACAGACACATCAGAGACAAAATGTAAAGAAGAAGGAGGAGGAGGAGGAGAAGAAGAAGAAGAAGAAGTTTAAAAGGTTCTTAAAAGCACTCAGAGGAAAAAAAGCAGAGATTATTTAAAAAACAAAACAAAAGAGCTGTGGTGGGCTCCTGGAATCCCAGCATGTGGGATTATACAAGTTTGAGACCAGCCTGGTCTACAAAGCCTATTCCAGACTGTCCAGGTCTACACAGTGAGACCCTATCTCAAAACCAAAACAATCTGAGTGTGATATTTGTGACTATAATCTTAGAATTTGGAAGGTATAAACAAAGATTTTCTGTCAAAACCCAAGAATATTTGTTACCAGAAGATCCCAAGCAGAAATTCATTCATTCATCCATTCATTCACTCCTTCTTTCCTTCCCCCTCTTCTCCCCTTCCTCTCTCTCTCCAGAGCCTCCACCTCTCAAATGCTGGGATTTACAGACATTCCCAGTTGTGGATGGAAAATTCTAAAACAGAAGCTCCCAAACTTGGCCAACTAATTTATTCCAGGATTCAAGAACTAGAGCTTCAGTGTGCAGTGAGCCAAGGTGGGGGGGGGAGATAGTGGGCAATGCAGGTAAAGGTGGGGGCAGGTGGGAAAGTGTTCACGCATGTTTTCCCTGTGTATGTGTGTGTGTGTGTGTGTGTCTACGTGTGCTCATGTTCCTGTGGGGCACTATCCATCTTGTTGAGACAGGGTCTCCACTGGTTAGGCTATCCTGGCTGGCTAGGGAACCCCAAGGCTCTTCCTGTCTGCCTCCTCAGAGGTGGGATTACAAGCTCCCACCACCATGCCCAGCTTTTTATGGGGCACTGAGTATTGATCTCAGGTCCTAAGGCTTGCACAGCAAGCAAGCAAGCATTTAATCCACTGAGCTGTCTCCCTTACCCCTGTATCTATATTTTAACAGGATCCTTCAGGACAGCTGAGGGGTAACAGACAGGCGAGGGGCTGGCAGGATGAGATCTGGGCAAGAGAGAGGATGAGTTTCTGTTATCCATTCTGCAGGTGGGGCCCACTGTATCTGCTAATCTGTGGGATGAAAAGTGAGTGGAGGCTGAAAAGAATTCCCAGCCTTTGCTAGGAGAATACCAGAGACAAGTCTCTAGGATGCCGAGGTGGGTTCCCGAGAGTGTCACGTTTGGATTCAAACCCCAACAAGTGTGGCTTTGGGCAAGTCATAAACATTCAAACCCTCTGTTTCATCAGTTGAAAACGGGGCCCAAAACAGGGGCTACCCATTGGTTTGTTGGCGATTCCGTGAGCCTGCAGGCTATGCACAAGCGCACGCGGCGCTAGCAAGGAGAGCGCCTAAGAAGTGCGGGCGGAGAACGGCTGGCGCTGAGGAACTCATCCACTGAGCCCCCAGACCCCGCCCCCAGGCCACGCCCCCAGGTCCCGCCCTCCCGTTCCCCTCCCCTCGCTGGGCGCTGGCTGGAGTCCGTGGTCAGCCGAGGGGCGATCATGGACACCTAGACCTAGTGTCCCTGGTCTGCGAGACCATGTGGTGGGGCGTAAGTGCCAGGAACAGTCTAGACGCCTGCTCCAGCCGGTGAGCCTGCGCAGAGTCTCGGATGAGAGGCGAGTTTTCCGCTCGGTCGGCTGCACTTCCGGGGCTGCCACTTTCACTTTCTCTTCCGGGGATGCAGCCCTCTCTGTCTTCCGGGTAGCGCGAGCCGCGGGGCTCTGGTTCCGGACGCTGGGGCGCCCGCGCCGGCTGGCCTCCCTCCGTCCGTCACTTTTGGGTCGTGGTTACCCATCGCCCACTGCGGACTTGGCCCCGGGCCTCCTTCGCTTTCTGTGTCCCTCGCGGGGCCCCACCGGTTCCCAATGCCGGGCCCTCGGCCCTGGGCAGTGTGATGCTGCCCGAGTGCGGCCCGGGGCACCGCTTGGGACACGCGCGCGAGGCCGGCTAGGGCTGAATCGCTGCTGTCCTCCCGCCCAACCCCAGGTGACCCCAAGGTACCATTTCCCGGGAGCAGCAGCCCTTTCTGAGGGGATGGGCGCAGCCAGGCCAGATGGACGAGAAGACCAAGAAAGGTGGGCACCGACTGGAGCTGGTGGAAGTGGGCTCTGGGCTGGGTCCGTGCTGGGGTCGTAGACTCAGTGAACACAGAACATCGAACCTGGAGAACTTCTGGTTGTTAGGGAAACAGACTTCAGTTGACCAGAGTAAGGCGGGGAGGGAACACTTTATGCCTCTATCCCTTGCCCTTCCACCCAGATTTGGAGGAACGCCGATAGTGTTATGTCCTGTTTGCTGGAAATCCTGCCCTCCTAGTAAAACCAAGCTCAGAGCTCTGGGCCACCTTTAGTGACCTCTCCCATTTCCTTGCATTCACTCCTACCAGCCTCTTCTGTCTCCTACTGGGGATTGAACCTGGGGCTTCATGCATGCTAGGCAAGTGCTCTATGACTGAGATATGCCTCCAGTCCTTGGCTTTTTTTATTCTGATCCAACCACTTCTTGCCCAAGGCCTTTGCCCATTTTCTGGCTTCTTGAAACAGTCTTCCTTATTGGATATTGGAATGCCCAGCAACCCTTCATTCAGGCCTTAGTTTCCCTTACCTCCGAGAGGTTTCCCCTGACCTCCTTACTCAATTATTGCTAGAATGGATCACAGCCTGATTATCTTGTCAAACCTTAAAATAGAGGTTTGTGAGGAGAAGGATGCTTTTCATCTTAACCACTGTTAGAGTCCTCTTTCTGGACTAGTGGCTGGCATACAGCAGAGTTCAAGAAATGTTTGTCAGGTAAATGAATGGAAGTATGGGGGACTCTGAGCATGAGGAGAAAGGGGCACCCCGTGAGTCCAGGGTACAGGGAAGGAGTGAAAAAGCACCCCCCCCCCAAAAAAAAGGACTTAAAATAGCCAGGTGCGGAAGATAACTGGATAGGGAAATAGCACAAAGCGTTTACCAAGGGTCACCTCTCCAGCCTCCCCAAGTAAACTGGTGCTAACCTGCTTGCTGTGTGCTGCTCTTCAGCAGAGGAGATGGCCCTGAGCCTTGCCCGGGCAGTGGCCGGCGGAGATGAACAGGCTGCTATGAAGTATGCCACCTGGTTGGCAGAGCAGAGGGTGCCCCTCAGGGTGCAAGTAAAACCCGAGGTCTCCCCAACACAGGACATCAGGTGAGTGTGATACATTGAAGGGGGTGGAGGCTCCTGAACCTCTGTGGACAGGTTATCATTTTCTCCCCCTACAGTGAGTGCTGGGGATCAAACACAGGGCCTCACTGGCAGGTTCTCATGTAGGAGATTGAACTTTAAGCCCTAGTTGCTAATAGACTGTGAGCTATGGAGTAGGCGGCTTCCTGTGCTGGGGTTCATATTTTCTTTTTTTAAGGGGACCCTGAACAGTGGGTGTCATCCTTGCCCAGGGGTCATGCCGGTCTTCCCTGCATCATTCCAGTTGTAGTGTCTGTGCTGCCAGAGCAAGTCCGGGGTTCATTCTCTTAGATGGGTAGAAGCCGGAGAACTTTCAGGAGGTAGTTCTCTCCCTCCCACCGTCGGAGCTGGAGATGAACCGTAGGTCAGCAGGCTTGCACAGCAAGGGCTTTTACCCATCAAGTCATCTCCCCAACCTTTATTTTTATTTTTAATTTACTTTTTGTTTTTACAGACCAAGACTTACTATGTAGTTCAAGTTAGTCTATAAATCACTCTTTAGCCCAGGCTAGCCTTCAACTCAAGACAGTTTTGTCTCCAGAGTATTAGAATTACACGTGTATACTACCAGACTTGGTAAGATAGTAACTTTTAGATTTTGTTTTGTTACTGTAAGGCTTCCATAATTTACACCTCTTTGGTTCTGAGCATGTCTAGCCTCTATGGCAGTGGTTCTCAACCCTCCTAATGCTACAACCCTTTAATTTACTTCCCCATGTTGTGGTGACCCCCAACCATAAAACTATTTATGTTTCTGCTTCATAACTAATGTTGCTACTGTTATGAATCGTAATGTAAATCTCTGTGTTTTCTGGTGGTCTTAGGTGGCCCACCCCCAGGGGTAATGACCCACAGATTGAGAACAGCCGCTTTGTGGGATTCATAGTATTGTAATTATGGAATTGTTCACTGTGGAATGAGTGTTGCAGTTTTAAAGCATGTGTACTTGTGTGTTTCCAAACTCCTAAGATAGTTTGAAGGCTAAGAATCTGGTCTGAGCTGGGTGTGGTGATGCATGCCTGTGATCCCAGAGGCAGGAGGATCCGAAGTTTCAGAGCCAACCTGAATCCATACCTCACAAGAATACTGAAACAAACAACAAAAAAAATTTCCTATGAAAATGTGAACAGAGCCGGGCGGTGGTGGCGCAGGCCTTTAATCCCAGCACTCGGGAGGCAGAGGCAGAGGCAGTCGGATCTCTGTGAGTTTGAGGCCAGACTGGTCTACAGAGTGAGTTTCAGGAAAGACGCAAAGCTACACAGAGAAACCCTGTCTCGAAAAACCAAAAAAAAAAAGAAAAAGAAAAAGAAAACGTAAACAGAAAACTTTGAGTCTTTGTATGTCAATTTCTGGGGATTTTTTTTTTTTAATCTGTTTTGTTTTATTTTTCAAGACAGAGTTTCTCTGTGTAGCCATGCCTATCCTGGAACCCATTCTGTACAATAGGCTGGCTCAAACTCACAGAATCGCCTGCCTCTGCCTCCCGAGTGCTGAGATTGAAGATGTGTGCCACTACCGGTTTATTTCTGTTTTTTTTTACTGATAGTTGAATATCAAAATGATTACGTGCCTGTAATCCCAGCATTTAAGAGGCAGAGATAGGTGAATCTCTGAGTCTCTGAGTTAGAGGTCAGCCTGTTCTACATAGTTCATTCCAATCCAGCCAGTGCTAAACAATGAGACCCTGAGTCATTAAAAACAAAACAAAACGAAACAAACAACAACAACAACAACAGCAAAAAAACCCAGGGCTGGAGAGATGGCTCAGCAGTTAAGAGCACTGGCTGCTCTTCCAGAGGTCTTGAGTTCAATTCCCAGCAACCATGTGGTGGCTCACAACCATCTATAATAGGATCTGATTCTTTCTTCTGGCATGTAGGCATACATGCAGACAGAACACTCATACATTAAATAAATAAAAGTAAATAAATAAATCATTTTCTGGAAGAGTTTCTCGGGTACTTCCTGGAGTATTTTCAGAATAGGGGCTGCTGAGACAGCATTTGGTTATGGAGCCCAGGCTGGCCTGGAACTTGGGGCTCTCCTGCAGACTCAGGGGTGTGCACTGCCTTGCCTGGCCTCCTTTGCTCCGATGATGCTCTCCGAGGTCTTAGAAGGCTGGACTCTGGTCCTGTGCTGTAGGTTATCTGTTTTCCTTTGAGGTCAGCTCAGTTTCTCATGTTCATTCTCATTTTTCTTGCTTTTTGGTCTTTCGCCATGTTTCAGAAGCCAGGCATGGTGGCACACATCTACAGTGCTAGCTGGCATTTGGAAGACTGAGGCAGGAGGATGATGAGTGGCAGCTGAAGATGCCCTTGAACTCCTGGTCCTAATCTGGGCTGCATAGTGAGCTCCTGTGTTAAAACAAACAAAGACAAAATAAAATAAGCTTACAGATCCTTGAGAAAACTGATGTTTAAAATACTAGAGTAGCCGGGCGGTGGTGGCGCACGCCTTTAATCCCAGCACTCGGGAGGCAGAGCCAGGTGGATCTCTGTGAGTTCGAGGCCAGCCTGGGCTACCGAGTGAGTTCCAGGAAAGGCGCAAAGCTACACAGAGAAACCCTGTCTCAAAAAACCAAAAAAAAAAAAAAAAAAAAAAAAAATACTAGAGTAAATGGGGGCTGGAGAGATGGCACAGAGGTTATGAGCACTGGCTGCTCTTCCAGAGGACCCAGGTTCAATTCCCAGCACCCACATGGCAGTTCACAACTGTCTGTAATTCCACTTCCAGAGGATCTGACACTCTCATACAGATATACATTAAATAAATAAATCTTTAAAAAAAATACTAGAGTAATGCTGGATGGTGGTGCACACCTTTAATCCTGGCAGAAGCAGGCGGATCTCCGAGTTTGAGGCTAACCTGGTCTACAGAACAGCCAGGGCTACACAAAGAATCACTCCATGGTGGAGCGATTCCCTGGTGTGTGTAAGGCTCTCAGTTCTATCTCCAGCACGGAAAACAAAGTCAGACATCATTTGGAATGATAGTTTGGACTTAAGTCGCCATGACGTAATCATGGTTATTGATTGCTACTGCAGCATGGCTGCCACAGTCCGTTTCTATCTGGAATAGGATGTGACAGTGCCTGCCTCAGGCTGATGGAAAGGATTAAGTGGGTTAAACGATTAGGTGCCACTAGGATCCAGGTGTGTACTCAACGCAGATGCTGCTCATTTGGCAGAAGAGAGGAACAGATGGAGCCAGAGCAGACTGTAATCCTAACACTTGGGTGAGAGAAGGGGGAGGACCAGGAGTTCAAGGGCATCTTCAGCTTCATCGGGAGTTCAAGGCCAGCCTGATCTACATGGGACCCTGTTTCAAACAAAACCAAACCAGAGGAATCTTCCCTTTCCCCTCAAAAAAGTTTGCCAGGCTTGGTGACAGCTTCTTGGGAGGCTGAAACAGATAGATGATAAATTCAAGGCCTGCCTTAGCAATTTACTGACCCTGTCTCAAAATAAAAATAAAGGGCTAGGACACGTATGGAAGGTGGGGATCCAGAGAGACCTCCCCAGGTGGGCTGTCCCTAAGGGTTGTTCTGGTTAGCTTTCTATGGCTGTAATAAACACTATGACCAAAAGCAGCTTGGGGAGCAAAAGGGGTTTTGGCTTATATATCTATCCCAGGTTATATTCCATCACTGAGGGAAGTCAGATCAGGAACTGAAGCAGGAGCCTGGAGGCAGAAACTGAAGCAGAGACCATGGAGGAGTGCTGCTTACTAGCTTGCTCCCATTGCTCCGATTGCTTTTTAATACAACCCAGGACCACCTGCCCACAGCTGGGCTGGAGAGCTGGCTCAGCAGTTAAGAGTGCTTGTTGCTCTCGTGGAAGACCTGGGTTCAGTTCTTAGCACCCACACGGTGGCTCAGTACTCTGTAACTCTGGTTCCAGGGGATCTGGAATCCTCTTCTGACTTTACAGGTACCAAGCATGCAAGTGGTACGCACAGGTACAGGCAAACCCCTTTTATGCACATGCAGGCAACACTCGTACACATGACATCAGATAAATCTTTTAAAACATTGATTCTTAAAAAGGAAGGAAAACGCCCACAGGCTTGTCTATAGACCAGTTCGCAGGAGGCATGTTTTCAGTTGATATTTTCCCTTCTAACTTGTGTACATTAACAAAAAAACTAACCAGCACACAGCACCTGCACGTGCGCAGGCATGAACATTCCCACGCTGGTAGCTCAAATCCATGCCTACCCTTCTTTCCCACAGGCTGTGTGTGAGCGTGGAGGATGCCTACATGCACACCGTCACCATTTGGCTCACAGTGCGCCCTGATATGACAGTGGCCTCCCTCAAGGACATGGTGAGTGAGGAGCTGGAGGCAGGCGGGCTCCGCTCTGGCTTGTGTCTCCTCTCTGCTCTCCCCATCCTGTGTCCCTCCCACCTCATATCTTCCGTTACTGTGGTCAAACACCTGCTAGAAACAACCTGAGGAGAGGCTCGTGTTGGCTTACAGCTCAGAGCACACAGTGCATCATGGGAAGGGGTGGTACTTAAGAGACTCCATCGAGGGAACAGGAGCTTACAGCTGCAGCTTTTTTTCTTCTGACTCTCCTTTACACTTTTTTTTTAAAGCTATTTATTTTACTTACTGTGTATGAATGTTGGCCTGCCTGTGTGTATTGTTTCATGTGTGTGCCTGTTGGATCCCCTGGAACTGGGGTTATGGATGATTGTGAGCCACCACATGGGTGCTGGGAATTGAACCAGGTCCACAGTAAGAGCAGCAAGTTCTCTTAACCATTAGCCATCTCTCCAGCCCTCCTCTCCCTCCTTTTGTGAATATAGGGTTTCACTATATAACCCTGGGTGGTCTGGAACTCACTTTGTAGACCAGGCTGGCCTTGAATTTACAGAAGTCCATGTGCCTCTGCCTCCTGAGTTCTAGGATCAAAGATTTGCACCACCACTTCTTTGGGCCTGGCCTCACTTGTGGCTTTTCAGATGGCCCGGGAGCAAAGAACTGGGGTAGTCGCTAACCCTGAAAGCCAGCCTTCAGTGGCGCACCTGTGCCAGCCAGGACTCCTGACGAAGGTTCCACAGTTTCAGAAAAAATCATCCCCAACTTGGATCAAGTGTTCAAATGTGAGTGTGGCAGTAGATATTTACTTTCAAACTATAACTGTCTCCCCCAGGTATTTCTGGACTATGGCTTTCCACCCAGCCTGCAGCAGTGGGTGGTTGGACAGAGGCTGGCGCGAGACCAGGAGACCCTGCATTCGCATGGTGTTCGACGGAACGGAGACAGCGCCTACCTCTACCTGCTCTCTGCCTGCAACACCTCACTCAACCCTCAGGAGCTGCAGCGGCAGCGGCAGCTTCGCATGTTGGAAGGTGATGCGCTCTGTCGGGGATGTGCTGGAGGGCCCTGTCCGTGGAAGAGGATGTCAGAGGCGGGAGGGAGCTTCTTGTAGAAGTCTTGAGCAGGGCTGGCAGGAGGAGAGGGGCTGTTTAATCCTGGCCCAGCATTTGCTAGCCGTGAGACCCTGAGCAAGCTCATTCTGTCTCTGCCCCTCAGTTTTCCATGTTTCTGTTTGTGTGTGTTGGTGATGTTAGTAGGGCTTAGTATGGTTCCTTTTACTGCAGTATTTCAGACCTGTAGAAAAGTTTCACAGGTGTACAGAGAAACATTTTCCTTCTTTAGCTTTACCCCTGGCTGCAGAATCTTAGGAAATGAGATCTTCCTCCCCTGAACACTTGTGTCATTTTGTCAAGAGAAAAGCCATCTTCCTGAATAACTCTAATGTAGGAATTAACATCTATGTAGTACAGTGTGTTGTTGTAGTTGTTTTGATTTTTTTTTTTTTTTGAAACAGGGATTCTTTGTTTAGTCCTGGCTGTCCTGAAGCTCACTCTAACCCTCCCAAGTGCTGGGACTAAAGGCATGCACCACCACTGCCTGGCTTTTCTTGATTTTTAAATTACATTTATTGGGCCAGGCATAGTGGAACACGCCTTTAATCCCAGCACTGGAGAGGCAGAGGCAGGTAGATCTCTTGAGTTCGAGGCCAGCCTGGTCTACAGAGTGAGTTCCAGGACAGCCAAGAGTATATGAGAAACCCTGTCCTAAAAAATAAAATGGGGCTGGAGAGATGGCCCAGTGGTTAAGAGCACTGTCTGCTCTTCCAAAGGACCCAAGTTCAATTCCCAGCACCCACATGGCAGCTCACAGCTCTTTGTAACTCTAGTTCTAGGGGATCTGACACCCTCACACAGACACACAGGCAGGCAAAACACCAATGCAAATAAAATAGAAGTAAATAAATCATGAAAAAAATAAAACAATGCCCCACAAAGTCAGTAAATAATTTAAAAACTACGTGTGTAGCAGTACACATGCCCCGCACACACGTGCATGTGGGGAGGGAGGGGATCAACTTGCAGGAGTTGGTTCTCTTTCCCTCTGTGGTCCGGGGCTTACAGTCAGGTCACCAGGCTTGGTGGCCGCACCTCTGTCCCCTGAACCCTCTGACACTGACTGTGCGGCCACTCTCGTGTGGGTTTTGCCAATGGTTCAAACCAGTGTCCCTGGTGGCCAAAGACATAGCATTCAGCTGCCATATCTCAGCCCTTCCCAGCCTGATCCCCTCGGGTCCCTGGTTACCCTGCAGACTGAAGATGTTCGGGTCTCTTTCTTCTTGGCGGGCATTTCAGCATGATGGAGTCGGGGTCAGGCGGCTCCTCTCAAAAGGGATGGTGGTTATGAAAGTGCAGTTATGGGTGCGGTAAAGCCTTAGCCTTGGGGTACCCTGGATGCCCACCTTCAGGAGGAGGCTAGAAACACTGCAGAGTTGGGAGGTGACTCAAGGTGGGGTGTGCCTTTCTGGTTCAGCATGTGGATACCTGGGCAGCCCGGATCCATATACATTCCTTCTGCAGATTTGGGCTTCAAGGACCTTACCCTGCAGCCACGGGGCCCCTTGGAGCCTGTCCTTGCCAAGCCCAGGGCCCAGCAGGAGCCCGGGCAGCCAGACGCAGCCTCAGAGTTGCCACCGGTAAGTGTCTCACTTCCTGTGCGCCTTGTCTTCCCTGCCCAGCCTGGCTGAGCTCACACCCGCTCTGCATCCAGGTGGGCTGGCAGTGCCCTGGCTGCACTTTCATCAACAAACCCACACGGCCCGGGTGTGAGATGTGCTGTCGTGCAAGGCCCGAAACCTACCAGATACCTGCCTCGTACCAGCCTGATGAGGAAGAGCGAGCACGCCTGGCTGGTGAGGAGGAGGCGCTGCGCCAGTACCAGCAGGTGGGCACACAGGTCCGGGGACAGACACCTGCAGGCTGCTTGAGGAAGGCCTAAGCTTGAAAGGGAACCACCTGCATACTACTGTGCCCCTGGCCACTGCCATTCCTCTCATGAGCACACTGCTAAGCCATAACCTTGCCCTTGACTGAGAGCTGCCTCTCTCTGAGGCCAATTCTGTGGCCCAGACTCTCTCTCATGGTGTGATGCACGGCCAGGCTCTTCACTTGTTCTGATCCTCACCTTCACACCCCCACCTCCCGTGTATCTAAGCGTCCCTGACTGTGCCGACGATACTTCCTCTGTGACCCTAACTGTGCTATACTAACCATACGATACCTCAGCCCAAACCTCACACCATGGCCTGTAACTCAGCTTGGCTCCTACTCTACCCCACCTCTTCTCCCTTACTCTCTCACGGACTGCCTTCCCACGCTCCTTGGGAGGGGCTCTGTCCTCTCTCATTTCCCTAGAGTAGTCAGTTCCCACCACAAATACTGACTCCACAGACACCTAACTCTGGTGCTCCCTGCTCCAAGAGCATGCTCCTACCCCACCTGCAACCCTTTGGATTCAGTGCAGCCTGACCGCCTTGACCGTGACCCCATGCCTAGCCAAGCCTTATCTGCAGCCTGGCTCTGCCTTCAGCTTTGACCCTCCTTCCAGCACTGCTCCGGCCCCACCTTGCTTACCCAGAGTTTGACCCCTGTGGACCCTCCACTCCTCTTGTACCCAGAACCTTTTCTTTCTCTGCTACCCGTGCCCCCTCACCTCGCTTCTTCCTCTCCGGTAGCCCCGCCCTGGCGGTCCTGGCCTGCCCATATTCCCAGCCCACTACTGCCCTGCTGCCCCTAGTACTAGCCCAGGCTTGCCCCACATCCCGTCTGACCCACCTGGTGGCCCCGCCCTGCCCGTGTGCCCAGCGGAAACAGCAGCAGCAGGAGGGGAACTACCTGCAGCACGTGCAGCTGGAGCAGAGGAGCCTGGTGCTGAACACCGAGCCCGCTGAGTGCCCCGTGTGCTACTCGGCGCTGGCGCCCGGCGAGGCCGTGGTGCTGCGCGAGTGTCTGCACACCTTCTGCAGGTGCGGCCCAACTCCCACTAGCCACAGTGCTTACCAAGCCACGGTGAAAGTGTGCTGTTCTTTATCGCGTTGGATGCCCACAAAACGCCATTTATGCAAGAGGTGTTGTGGCTCATGCCTGGAATACCAGTACTCAGGAGGTGGAGGCAAGAGGATCAGAAGTTCAAGAATAGCTTTGGCTGTATAGTGAGTTCAAGGCCAGCCAGGGCTACATGAGACCTTGTCTCAAAAAATCCAAGGAAAAAGGAATGGGAGAGAGAATCCAAGCATCCCTGTTGTCAAGGCTACACAACTTGGAAGAAGCTCAGAAATGAGACAAGCATTCTGGCTGCAGAGCCGCTGTCCTTCCTCACTGCCGTTGCTCTCCTGGCAAATTAAAAACATCAGGGCCGAGCTCTGACAACCCACAGCATTCGGTCCTGTGGCGTTTGCATTCTTCCCCTTGGGTCCTGTACAGCCCTTCTACCCTTGAGCTGGGAAAAGTGTGTTCATTGCCCACAATGGGCCCTGGTGGAGTGCCCCTTCTAGGTCATGTGCCAATGGGGAGTCTGTGTTAATGTATACGATGCCACATGCAAGTAACTAGGTTGTGAGCCTTGTTCAGGTTGTGGGGGTGGGGGTGGGCAGGGCTGGCAGTCCCTGAGGAAGTCATGCTGGAGTAGAGGCTGGAAAGCTGTCTGTCTGAAAAGATCAGGGAGGAGAGGGATGGTGGGGGTGATGGGACAGGGTAGTTGTGCCCATGCAGGCGACGGAAGCTCTGAGCAGCTCTGGTCCTCTTTGGGTGGTGTTACTGCAGTGCTGAGAGTGGGCATTTGCACCAGCTAGAGAGACAGGGATCAAGGAGGTTCCTGCAGTCACCTGGGCAGGGATGTCAGTGCTCTAGACCAGAGAGTGTCAGGGATGGTGGGGTGGAGAGAGGGATGGGAAGGAAGGGCCCTGGGATCAGGCCCTGCCGTCTGAGGGCTGGAGTCCCTGTGGACTTTGAAATGAGCCTAACTGCCACCCTCCGCTCTCCAGGGAGTGCCTGCAGGGCACCATCCGAAACAGCCAGGAGGCGGAGGTATCCTGCCCCTTCATTGACAGCACCTACTCATGCCCTGGCAAGCTGCTGGAGAGGGAGATCCGGGCGGTAAGGCATGGGGTGGGAGGAATTCTGAGTCTTGGGACCTGGCCCTGATTTGGCAGCAGGCACAGCTCAGGAGCATAGACCATCTGCGTCTCCCAGCAGACATTTCCCAGGAGTGTTCGTTTGGAGTGCCTGGGGCCCAAGCAGGGCAGTGTTGGAGGGAGTAGATGTAACCTCGGCTGCTTCCACGTCACCAGTGCAGTGGGGGCGTTCTGGGCGGGTGGGGCTGTGGCTGCAGACACTCAGCCTCTGCTCTGTCCTCAGCCAGCACCAAAGGTGGCGTCTGCTAGTGTGCTAGGCTTGTGCAGCTGCTATATCAGCTGCTTTTGCTTTGTAACCAGTCACTTCAGACCTGGTGCCTTAAAGCACTCTGGTTTGTGAATTGCGAGGTGGTGCTTTCACGTGGGTGGAGCTGGGGTTTCTGTGCTTCAGGGTTGGCTCCTGGCCTGTCTGCTCAGTGGTAAGGATGAGATAATTCATGATGGCCTTGCCTGGGATAACTATCTACTTCTACTTGGGTCCCCTCCGTAAGCGGGCTGTCCAGGCCTAGTCCGTGGCAGTAGTTAGCTTTTGGTGTTCAAAGCACAGCTCTAGGTGTGTATAAACTGCTTATGCTATAATCCTGTTAACCAGTGCAAATTACATGTTCAGGCCCATATTCCTTGTGGGGACCAACATGAACCGTGGTCTGAACATCTTGTGGTAATATGGCCATTCAAGGTTAAAAATGGGAGAACTGTCATGGCAGTACACCCCGTCACCCCAGCACTGCTGAGGCATCAGGATGAAAAGCTTCAGGCCAGCCTGAGCTCTACAGCAAGGCAATCTTACAAAGTTAAGGACTGGTGGGTAGAGCACTTGCCTAGCAAGCGCTGTGCCTGGGTTTGATCATAGACAGAAAAGCAGGGTCACAGTGGCCAGGGTCCAGATGGGAGACTCAGGCATACACAGATCCTTTCCTCCCATCACTCCTGCCTCCTCTGACCACGTTTCTCCTGAAGTCCCCCAAAACTTTACCAGATGTTTCTCCTGCCCAAGGGGCTCCGCTGAGATGGGAAGGGGATCTGAGAGATTAGAACTTGGAGAGTTTCAGTTTTATATTCAAAGCCGCTTTTACCTTGTCCATGGGGCTTCTGAGTGGGCCAGCTCCTGGGCCTTGCTTAAGTATCCTAATTGTGCTCTGGAGAGACCAGGACACTGGCTCTCGTAGTCACTGACTCAGAGGTTCCCTGAGAAGGCCACCCCCTGCCAAAGGTCATATTCATCTAAGGGGCTGCATACAGAACACGCTAGAAGTCCCCAGGTCCTCACTCAAGCTTCAGGTATGGCAGTGAGAAGAGGTAGGTGTCAGCAGAGTGGCATGGCATGTTTTTAAGTGGCAGAGAATAGCCTGGTGGTGGTGGCACACACCTTTAATCCCAGCTCTCGGGAGTCAGAGGCAGGTGAATCTCTGAGTTCAAGGCCAGCCAGATCTACAGAGTGAGTTCCAACATAGCCAGGACTACACAGAGAAACCCTGTCTCGAAAAACCAAAAAAAAAAAAGTGGCAGAGACTAGGGAGAATGAAAAAGCAGCCCCAACTCTCTGGCCTAGACATCCTCCAGTACCATTTGTCCCGTTTCCCTCCTTCTCAGCAGGTAACATTTTGTTGGTTGTTTTGTTTTGTTTGTTTGTGACAGGATCTCACTATGTAGTCTTGGCTGGCTTGACTCACAGAGATCCACCTGACACTGCCTCCTGAGTGCTGGGGTAAAGGTGTGCGCCACTGTTTCCAGCTACACACACACACACACACACACACACACACACACACGCGCGCGCGCACGCGCGCGCGCATATACACACACACACACACACACACACACACACACACACGCGCGCGCGCGCGCGCAGATATATATATATACACACACACACATATACACACACATGCATATATATATACACACATATATACATATATACACACACACATTTTTTTTTAGTTACATTCGTGTGTGAATCAGTATGAGTGTGTAACACACAGCATGTGTGTGGAGTTCAGAGGACAGCTGGTCAAAATCAATTCTGCCTTTCCAGCCATGTGGATCTCAGAGATCAAATTCAGGTTGGCAGGTTTGGCTTCAAACACCCTGGCCTGTTGTGCCTTTCTTTGGTCCCAGGCAGTATTTCTGAGGTAAAAATCATTCACTGTAATTTATACATGACAGAATGGACCCCTTAGAGGTGTGCAGGTATGTGGGTTCTGACCCATGTAACTTAAGCACCACCCCACTAAGATGCAGAACAAAGGCCTGACTCCCCCTCACTGACTCGCGTCTTTAAGGAGCGTTTCAGCTCTTCGGCACCCCTTGTCGGTCTGTCGGTCTGTCTGTCTGTCTCCCCTTGCAGCAGGCTGCCCTTCCCTGCTAGGAAGGGCAGCTTCCTAGAACTGTTTGGGAACTCTTCCATGTGAAACAGACTTATGGGGTGTGGAGGCCACCAGAAGATGGTCAAGTCTGGGCCATTTCCACATTGTTGCAGGGTGCAGTGTACCTGGATCCTGGTTGTCTGAGACCAGGTCTTGCTGTTTAGTACAGGATGGCCTTGAACTCTCAATGATCCTTCTGCCTCAGCCTTCAAAGCACTGGGACTTAATGGCTTATGCCACTATGTTGGTTCCAGGATAGGAATTTAACCTCTTTGTCCCCCTATCACTTGTGTCTGTTTTCCTCATAAAATTTGCCCTGTTGGCTGTTTGTCCTCAGAGTCCTTAGGTATGCAGTTCTGAGGCATTCACACTGTCTCTCAGCTCTGTAGCCATCATGACCATCCATTGTCAGAGCTTTGCCAGCTTCCTGCCACAGCCTCCCCGGTGCTGGGATGATAGGTTGTCATGACTGTCTAAGTGGACATGTTAAGTGCCGGAAGGGCTCTGAAGAAGAGCTTGAGCCCTGTGTGGTAGCTCATCTTTTATGCCAGCTCTTGGGAAGTAGAGAGACACCAGGAATTTAGGCTAGCCTACGTTACATGAAACCCTATCTCCAAAAAAAGAGGCTTGGGACTGGGTTGAGGTGCTGGGTTTCCTGGGAGCATTTGATAGGAGGAGAGCATCGCTGCGTGTTCTGAACTCTGACAACAAAGCCACATGTGTGCAGCTCCTGTCCCCTGAGGACTACCAGCGCTTCCTGGACCTGGGTGTGTCCATCGCCGAGAACCGAAGCACCCTGAGCTACCACTGCAAGACCCCCGACTGCAGGGGCTGGTGCTTCTTTGAGGATGATGTCAACGAGTTCACCTGTCCTGTGTGCTCCCATGTCAACTGTCTGCTCTGCAAGGTGGGACAGGGCTCGCGTGGCCTGCCTTCATCTGGCTGGGGCTTGCTGTGACTGGCAGTTTTAGGGTTACAGTGGCCATCAGCACCTAAAGCAAATAGGGTTTGTATTAGGCTCCTACTGATGGCCCTGGCTCCACGTCCCTGGACCCTGTGTCTTCTGTAAAATGTGTCCTATAAAATGGGTGTCAGTTTCCTCAGTGATGGCTTTCACTGAAGACACTCAGAGGTACTCAGTGCTGTGGTGGGCCTCTTCTGCCCCTCACAGCTGAAGCCCCTGAGGAAACGTCTCACTCCGAGCCCCTTGCCCTGCAGGCCATCCATGAGCGCATGAATTGCAGGGAGTATCAGGACGACTTGGCCCTTCGGGCTCAGAATGATGTGGCTGCCCGGCAGACAACGGAGATGCTGAGGGTAAGGCAGGGTCTTAGCGAGGGCCTAGGGACTTAACGTTCTAGATGCTTCTTGGGAAGGACTAAGTTCACATATTCTTGGAGGCCTACCCAGTCTCTCTTCTGGATGAACCCCCGTTTCAAGGTGTGTCTTCCAGTGAGGGTATCAGGTGTGGAGCCGCAGGAAGTCTGGCTTGGGGAGCCCTCAGGGACAGAGGAGCAGCTAGCCATGCCAGGCTGAGGAGAGTACACCGCAGAGGGCAAGGCCAGGGCCTTAGTAGCTCCCTTCCAGGTGATGCTGCAGCAGGGTGAGGCGATGCACTGCCCGCAGTGCCGGATTGTGGTCCAGAAGAAGGACGGCTGTGACTGGATCCGCTGCACTGTCTGCCACACTGAGATCTGCTGGGTCACCAAGGGTCCCCGCTGGGGCCCTGGGGTGAGTCTTCAGGGTACTAGAGGGTGGGTGTCGTTACTCAAGTGGGACTCAAAACTTGAGCCATCAGCTAAGTCTGACCTACCATGTGCAGCTTAAGGGGAGGGATTGTTATTTTACTTTATTAATTTCGAGGCAGGGTCTCATTGTGTAGACCTGGCTGACCTGGAACTCACTATGTAGACCAGATTGTCCTCCAACTCAGAGATCCACCTATCTCTGCTTCCCAAGTGCTGGGATTAAAGGTGTGTGCCACCAAGCCTGGCTTAATTTTATGTTTTATTGTCTGTGCACCTGTGTGTGGGAATGAGAGAAAAGAGAAAAGAGGGAGGGAGGAGAGAATGTGCCATGGCGGTCATGTGGAGGTCAGAGGACAGCTTGTGGAGTTAGTCCTCTCCTTCCTTCCGTCTTGGTGTGTCAGCAGTCTTGTGTAGCAAGACCTTTAATCTGCTGAGCCACCTCACCAGCTCAGGGGAAGATTTCCTTTTTTCTTTTTTTTGTTGTTGTTTTCGTTTTTCAAGACAGGGTTTCTCTGTGTAACAGCCCTGGCTGTCCTGGAACTCGCAGATCCGCCTGTCTCTGCCTCCTGAGTGCTGGGGTTAAAGGTGTGCACCAGCACTGCCTTTATTTCCAGCTGATTTTCTTTTTCTCCTTTCAGACTTTCTCACTCTGTAGTCTGGGCTGACTTGGCAATCCTCCTGCCTCAGCCTCCTGAGTGCTGGAGATGATAGCATGTGTCACCTTGCTGGGCTTGAGGGTTAAGAAATTTTTATATCTTTAAAGTATCTTTTAAGTTATCAAAAGGCCACAGTAAATAGTCCTGGAGCCCACCCATCCCAGGCTTTTGCCTCTTGCCTGCAGCCGTGCTCATGTGGAGGGCTCAAGGCTGGCCAGGCCTCGGACCTGGCCTGTGCAGCTGCTGTTCTGTTTGAGGGGAGAGCAAGTCAGGGTCTTGCTGGGTTGGAGGGGGATTGCAAGTCTCCTGGCACATATTTGCCACCTCTCAGTTTTAGATTCTCCCTCCACACAATGCAGAGTGTCAGAGCCTGTCTCAAATATAAGAGAAGTGCTCAGTGGGTGCCTGTCACAGGTTGAGTGCCCTGTAGGTGGTGGCAGTATGAGAGGTGGGTTGTGGAAGTCAGAGCTGGTATCACCACTGGTAGATTTAGAGACAGGTGATACAGAGGGAACCGTACTATTTCCCTCTACCCAGGCACAGCTCCACCTGCAGCTGCAACCCCTTCCCTCTCTGGCCATGGAGCTGAGGGTGCTGGAGGGCTGGGATGGGGTTGAACGCCCTTCACGGCTGCCTCCTTCAGGTTGGTGAGGCTATTCTTTGCAGGAGGACTTTTGGCAGCCAATTTGTACCTTCAGGTGGGCTCTGCTTTGGGCTGATGGAGTGACTTGGGGATAGCCTGCTTTTACCATCCTGATACTCTCTTTTCTCTATCCTTTAGGGCCCAGGGGACACCAGTGGGGGCTGCCGCTGCCGGGTCAATGGGATTCCTTGCCATCCTAGCTGTCAGAACTGCCATTGAGTCGAAGATGGTAGTCCTCAATATTGATCCAGACCCACATGTGTAGCAGCTAACGGAGGACCAGGCCAGGGGTTGGCCACTGTACCTTTAAGCTTGGCCAGGAGAAGGCCCTGAGCTGTGCTGCCAGTCTGCTTGCTGTTACAGGAGCCCAGCTTAGCTGGGGTCACATCGGTCCCAATGCCTGCGTTGCTCCACAGGGTTACTGACCAGACCTTATGGCCCTGAGCTAGATACTCTACCCTTACTAGCCACCAGCCTTAAACACAGCCCTGGCCTAAGGCCTGGCTGGCTAGTGCTCTGAGCCTCCAGAGTGACTGTTCTCCCTCAGCATGCTCCCTGAGGACCCACAGCCTCATCCTTTGCCTTGCTGGCTTTCTGAGCACTTTTGCTGCTGCTGCTGCTGCTGAAGGCCTGGCACCTCTTAGGGCCACTGTGAACCCAAGCAGGTAGAACGTAGGTCAGAAAACACAGCCCATGGGGTCCAGCTCTGCACCCCCTTTGAATGAGTGAATTAAAGTTGTTTTCCAGAAAGGGAGGTGTGTTGTGCTTGAGGGAGCCAGTGTCCTAGGTTGAATGCCATACAGGCAGGATGGGAGCTTGGAACAGCACCTGGAGGTGATCTGAGGGCCCTGGAGGTTGGGGGAATCAGGCTGGCTCAGCTCTGACATCACCATGCCTAACCCCTGGACAAGCATTGCTAGGGCCAATATCTGCCCAGACTGGTGAAATTTACAGAGAAGAGCTTGAAGGCTGGAGGGATGCTGGGGAGGGAGGCCATGGCAGCAGCTAGACTGAAGGAAAGGCTTGGCTGTTCCCTGTTTCTCTCTGGTATTTACGGTGAGGAGCAGCGCAGTTTTAGGAACTGCTGCAGCTGAGCAGGGAGGTGGTCCACTTTATTTAACAGCCAGGCAAGAGGGAAGGCCTTGCTGTTGACATCTGTCCTGGTGCTTCCCTCCACTGTGACCCATCCAGTCCCTTCTGAAATTGGGTGTTGCTGTCACCCCACAATGATCTTAACAGTAAGCATAGTACCTGTGGTGGTCAAAGCCTCACCCCAGATGCTAGGCCATGTAGTTTTTCCGGGGTGAATGTTTTCTAGCCCCTGGAATGTGGAGCCCTGGATGGACCTATAGCCTTGAGTGGGATCACAACAGGAACCCAGAGAATGAAGATTTTTTAGAGATAAGGTCTGTGTAGCCCAGATTGTCCTTGAATTCATGGCAATCTTTTCCTGCCTTGGCTTCCAGGGTGTTGGTATTACAGGCATGCACCAGGCTTGGCCTGACCAATATATGTGCCCTTATATGTATGCCCTTCCTTCATTACCTAGTTACCAAAATCCTACTCATCCTTTGTATTTGGTCCTTAAGTCCAAGGCTGACTTATATCATCTGCCATTCAGACTGCTCTTTAGCCTTCTACTATAAGTTCCCAGAGTGTAGACCTTGTCCCTGTTAACCCTTTGAGGCTCATGGCTGCCATTATCAGAGGGCATCACAGGCTGCTGGCCTATTGTGGTAGAACAAGGAACAACAAAGAATGCCTACATCCAGCATTGACTCCATGCTCCTGACTGGCTCCTCTGCAGGCAGAGGTAGAAAAGTAGGAACCCAGCTGCTGTGTACTCTTACTGCTGAGAGTGGGGCTGTTGAGAGACTAGACCTGTGGTTCTCAACCTTCCTAATGCCTCGGCCCTTTAATGTAATTCCTTATGTTGTGATGATCCCCAAACATGAAATTATTTTTGTTGCTACCTTAAAACTGTAATTTTACTATTGTTATGAATCATAATGTGAATATTTTGGAGATAGAGGTTTGCTGAAGGGGTCGTGATCCACAGGTTGAAAACAGCTAGGATAGAAGCTGAGTGAGGCAACTGTCAGATGTTCCTCAGTAGACAGAAACTAGACATGATGGGCGGGAGTGTTCCTTCCACAACAGGCTGTTAGGTTCTGAATCCAAGTGCTGGCCTTCTGAGTTGAAGGCCTGCAAAGCAAAAGAGCACAGAGCACATCCTGCACCCGTCACTAGCTGTGATCGTACCCACAGCAGCTGCAGGACGAAGGCCACACTTCTGTATGACTGGCACTTAGGAAACCCGGAAAGAGCATGTACCCAAGTTCAGTTTCCAGCACCTGGGTCAGGCAGCTTACAGTCACCTGTAACTCCAGCTGATACCACCTTCTGACTTCTGAGGACACCTGCAATCACACATACACATAATTGAAAACAAAATCTTAAAAAAAATCAAAATACTTTTGCTCAAAGTCCTTACTCGTGCCCACAAAGAGATTATGGATGGAAGGATGGAAGCCTGGAGTCTCAGCCTTGAATTTGGGTCAGTCTCCTGCTTGCCGCTTCTTGGGCATGTTAATCACATGAGTGTTTGCCCACCTAACCTAGCTCATTCCCTGAAGCCCGTGTCATAAACATGTCCTAAACAAAGCCCTGAAGACAAGTCCCTCCCAGATGAGAGCACTGTCCACGAACAGGAGGCTGCACCTTACAGAAGTCATCACTGAGGTGGAGGCACTGGTCCTTTCAGGTAGTAGTGGGAAGGCCTGGACTACCCTGGACTTGAGTTAGTGCCAAGTCACACCCTCAACAGAACTATTTCATTATGTGACTTCTCTTCCCAATTCTTTCTCATGTCAGTACCCCAAAGATGACTTGAGGTCACTGGACCTTTGTTCCATGTGCTGATTAAACTGCTTCTCTTGTGTCTAAGTTGGGTATCAAGATAGGGAAATGGCTGGCATAGCCCTTTCTGGCTGCTGGAGCCAGGCCTTTTGCCCTAAACTCATCACACCTGTATGCGGAACAGAACTGGAAAGGCTGTGTACTGACAGCCAAGGTTGACTAGTCTACAGACCACAGGCCCAGACCCCAGCGGGGCCCAGGGTAGAAGCTGGTGGATCCATTTCCAGGCAAGCAGTGGAGCTACAAGGACAAGTGATTAGGAACCACAGAAGGGTGTTTATTTCATACAGGGCTCTGTACAAACCATCTAAACATATCTTTACAGAATAAGTAAATACCTGAAGGTAAACTGACAGCGCTTTCTCCTCAGTAGCGGGGAATCCTTGTGTGGGCACACACCACTCTTCAGCTCAGCACAAGCCAGTGCCACCTGCTTGTCTGGATGCAGAATTGTGGCTTGGACCCTGGGCCCATGCCCCTCCCCTCAACCAGCACACTCCCTGTAGCTCACGTATGCTAGAGGCACAGATGACAAGCTCCCGTGGTCGACTGACAGTATCTGTCACTTTATCACTCTGGATCCTGGAAAGTTCTCCTTTCTCCTGAATTAATCCCTGTGAATCACTCACCCCAGCTTGATTTGGTTAAAGTGCTTTGTGTAACTCAGCCTGGATACCTCCTGTGTGCTCTGGCTTGTGGCTGCTGGCTTGCAGAGCGTCCCACTGCATACAGTGGGCACAGGGGACACATAGGTCCGGACATGGTAGGACTGGAGAAGAGTGCCCAGGAAAGATCAGGAAAACAGAAGCATGTAAATGCTTCCCACTACACACTCTTTAAAGCAGCAAAAGGCACTTTTGTTTTCAAGCCAGAGTTTCTATAAAACAAACCTGGCTTCGCTTTTAACAAAGCCATCCTAGGAAGACAGAGAGATCCCATGGATCCCATGCACCCCTCCTGGAGGAGCCCAGGGGTAAGTGGGGCTGGTAGTGTGGGGTTCCTGCCAAAACCTGTCTGCATGCAAGTTTCCAAGGACATTCCCATTCTGAGACCAGCAGCTGAGGAGGTCAATACACGGGCAGGCCAAGGTGGGTGATTAGTGGAAAATAATTAAGTGAGACAGGAAGTGACACTGTGGGGCATGGGGCTGTTCACAAAGCAACTTTGGCTAAACTGAGCAGGGAACACATCTCAGGGGCAATCCTGTCATCCCAGATAATCTGGAGCCGAGGCAGGAGGATCAAAAGTTCAAGGCCAGCCTGGGCAACTTAGGTAGACCCTGTCTCAAAAATAAAAACTACTAAAGTCTGGTGCTATTTATTCAGTGGTAGAACACTTGCCTCACACGTACAAGGCCCTGGATTCCATTCCCCTCCAAAAAAGGAAAAAATAAATGTTAGCCCAGTACAAGCTCATCGCTGATAGCTTCTCCCATGAAGGAACTATGAGAGAGGCTGGAGAGACGGCTCCACAGTTAAGAACGCTTACTGCTTCAGCTTTACTAGAGGACCAGCATTCAGATCTCAGCACCCACCCCAGACTCCAGGAAATCTGAAGCCCACTTCTGGCCTCTGTGGGCACCCATACACACACACACACACACAAGTAATTTTTTTAAGTGAGAATAGTTGCTATGTTAGGTGTAGTATACAGTCATAAAAATAGTATTAAAAATGTCTTTACAGGTAATGTCACGTGGTTTGCAGAGAAAGAACAGGGAGACCCAGGCAACGTCGTCCAGGGGATTAACACTCCTCTGTTAGGATCTCTAGGCTGGGATCATGCAATTTAGCTAGACCCCAGCTCATGTCTGTCTGACTGACCAGCTGGCTCCCAGGCTATCATTCTCTCCCCTCGCTCGCATCCCAAGGCTGGACTTTGTCGGCAGCCCTGCCTGCTTTGTCTAGGATACACAGAACATGGAGTGCTGGAAGGAGGGCATCTCTGGGCCCAACTTTCTTCTAGGCAGTGAGCTGCGTAGCCAGGTGTTCCAGAGCCACTTCCAACAGTTAGAGAGCACTCAGGTCCACTGAGCCCAGTGTCAGGCAGCCCTGCCAGTAGCCACCAAGACCACAAGACAAGCTGCCAAGGGTGGCAGAATAGAACACCCTGACAGAAACCCTTTAATCACAGCATTTCCACCCTCTTGCGCCTTTCTGGAAATGGGGAGAGCTTGGTGCACTGGGTGAGGAAGTGGCTCCTTGGGCTGAGTTTAGGGGAACAGCTGCAGCTGGAACTTGGGGGCCCACTCCAGGGCACTCTTCACCACTGCCAGTGCTGCCGCTCCAAGTGCCACTGTCAGCCCCATCACTGCCAGTTTCACAAAGCGGTTGGTCCTTGGTTTGGTCAGGACATCTTTCGTACGAGCCTCAGGCCGCAGAAGTCCCCGAAACCGCTGCCGCAGCACCATGTCTGGCCTCTGCTGGGCCGAGGCCAGCTCAAAGTCTTTGAAAGTAGAGGCTGCCGTTCTGTGGATGGGAGCAGAAGGTGGTAGAGAAAGGCAGGAGACACTGCGTGAGCTGCTGCAGAGCAGGCCACTGCTCAGCAAGCTCTTCATGACACAGACCTCTCTGGCCTGTAGTGTAGAATCTGCTCCAGTGTAGATCTCTGCAAACACCTGAACCGCAGACCCTCCAGACAGGTCGACCCTCCCTCCCTCCCTGTGCTGGCTTCCACTGCCCTGCTACAGCAGCGCCTCCCCCACCTCACCTCTCAGCCTCCTGCTGCGCAGCCGCCTCCCTTGCAAGTTCCGAAGGGGGAAACTGAACAAAGAGGTCTCCAGCTCTGCTGATGAGCGTCTCATAGGGCAGGTCCTGAGGGATCTGGGACAACAGGTGGTGGACAGAGGCCATGTCACAGTCACAGTCCAGGACTTCCTGCTCCCGGTACAGCACAATCTGGCAAAGGCAGGCTTTGAATCAGACACAGAGGCACAGGACCTGGGCACTTGCCTTTCTTCACACACAGACCTAAGTCTTTGTAACAGACAGTGCTCAGCCCAAAGGTTTGGCAAATGCTATACCCCACACCACCTATAATGTGAAAGACTGACCAATTCTAGCAAGTCCTCCCAGAATACCTGTCTGCTCAAGTGTCACCCTTTAGGGTGAACCAAACTGATGCTCTTTTAGGAAGAAGAAAAGTGCTACAGGAGACTCTGAGGAGCTTTAGAACAGCCTGACAGCCATCTTGTTTCCTTTGGACATCTTCCTGACAGGACTGCTCACGTTCATAGCTGCTGAAGGCCACTCTCCATTCCACTCAGCACTTGGGAAGGAGCCCCACACTCTTCCATAAGCCACCCCTCTTTCAAGCCTAATCCCAGACCTCTCTCCCTTCCTGAAGCCTTGCACTGGCAGGCAGACTGAACTGTCACCTGTGCCCATCACGATGTCCACTAGCTAAACCGTTCCAGGAGGTGTCAGCAGGGTCACTAACAGTCGCATGACACTCTGGTGCTTTGAAGGGTCAGAAGTCTCCAAGTGAGAATAGTTGCTTAACCAACATTTCCTAATACTTCTTAGACCGGGAGGTCGGTCACCAGCTGGGGAACTACTATCTGTCCCCTTCAAGAACACTGATCAAGCTGGACAGGTAACAGGGAACCTCATCACGGCCTCCCAGAGTGTACCTACCACAGCTGCAAAGTAAATGGGCATGAGTGGGTGGCAGGCCAGGAAAAAGTCGTATAACCGCACAACGTGCCTGAAGTCCGACAGGACGTGCCCAAACCAGGTGATAAGCCAGCTGAGGGCAAAGATGGTCCCCACCTCAGCACTAGGAGCAAAGGAAATCGAGATGTTAGGTGCCCTGCCAACTCATCCCATCCCTTTCTCTGTCTTTCTTCTCAAGAGCCAATGAGGAAGAAGTATATAGAAAATATACTTCTTGAAAAATTATGCTACTTAGGAACTCAGCATTCTCTCCTCTTCCTCTCTCTCTCTCTCTCTCTCTCTCTCTCTCTCTCTCTCTCTCACACACACACACACACACACACACACACACACACACACACATATATAATTTTATTTATTTTGGTTTTTTGAGACAGGGTTTCTCTGTGTAGCCCTGGCTGTC